CTCAGTTTTTGATAATTATTTGTTTGAAAGTTAGGAAATATTCATAATATTGCTTCCTATTATCCTCATTTTTCACTGATGTTTACCCAAAGAAGGCTCTTTTTAAGGAGAAGAAGGAATTAAAAGTATGTTGCCGATTATCAGTGGAACCATCACTCGAAGAAAGAGAGTAAAGAGGCTGAGATAGAAGATATTTTTTTTGAAATAAAATCAATTACAGTACGTATCATTTAATATGTGGGACCTACATTCTTGTTGAAGTTTTGTAACTGGTTTCCAATTTTCAGTCTAAAAAATTGAGTTACGTGGATAAATAGATGAGCGGTTGCTGAAGGGAGAGTGTTGGTGCGAGTGCTCCTAGCATTCCTCTAATTGAATATATTCTATCAAAACAAAAACAAATGAACATAGAAAGTAATACTGACGTAGTGGTGGATGTCATCTTTTAATCTATTTTTTTACTTCTCTTTTATTTATTATTTTGAAAGTAGATGGAGTAATTAGAGATTATATAGTTACATTATTAATAAATCTTCAACTAATAATTTAAATCTCAATAAAAAGTCATTATCTTTGTTATTTTGTGATATAGAAAAATTATTTTTCTCACTTAAAAATTAGAATTAATAATTTAAAAAGATTATTTATTTACATTTCATAATATATATACATATATATATAAAACAAATGTTAACAGATGAATATTAATATTAAAAAATTATTTAATGTAATTTACAATAATAAATCGTAGAATTTTTTACAGATTAATCGACCAAAGTTTTTATTTCTCCACAATCTATCTAGGAGAACTTGACGAAATCAACGGCTCTCGATGGAAGCCAAGGAGCAAAAAGTCTAGCAACAAAATCGTTTTGCTATAATTGAGGAGTTGATGGGTAGTAAGCCAAATTGATCGGAGCAAATGAAGAAAAAGCAGTGGCTGAGGTGGGAAGCAAAGCAATTTCAAATGATGGTACAGCTGAGATGGACGTCACCCTTTCTTAGAATCCAGAGGTCGGAGAGAAAGAAAGAAGGGGAGAAGATGGATCAAGAGGGCGATGGTGAGGGTGATAAAGTTATTTTGTTTATTTTTATTTTTTTTGTTAAAATATAAATATTCATATGATATGATATTTTTATTTGTTTATATAATATAATTATAAGATATATTATTACCATGTCATAAAAAAATTTAAAAGAAAATGTTACATGGAATTATTTGATGGTCACGTCATGCTTAACTAACAGAAAAACTAAAATTGTGTTTTTCTTAGAGTTGAGGGATAGAAAAAATGCAAAAACAATAAAAGGACCAAAAAAGTGTAAACTGATAAAGTTAAGAAATCAAAATTAATATTTACCTTGATAAAAAAGCTAAGGATGCACTCTATATATGAAAGAAGAAAAAAGTTATAAACAAAATTGACTAAACATCTAATTGAGTTTTAGTTATTGCGCTATGATTTTAATTTAAAATTTAGAAATTTACTCTATTAATTTTTTATACTTAAATTCAAAAATTGATTATATATTTTAATATACTTAGAAACAAAATTGACTAAACATCTAATTGAGTCTTAGTTAT